AAACTTGCTGAGGGTGCACTCGATGTCACTGCCCATGTTGCTGAAGAAGATGTTAAACACGACTGGTCCTTGAGGAACTCCACTTGTCACTGGCTTCCACTTGGACATGGACCCATTGACAGCCACCCTTTGGGTTCAGCCATCAAGCCAGTTCACCTCTGCTTCTCAGCAGGCTTGTAAGAGGAGTTCTCTAACTCAAGGGACTGTTAATCTCCACATGAACATGCAGGGGAGCAGATGAGTCCCATGCAGACAGCTTCCCATTCTGTCTATATAAAAAGTTGAGGAGAGACTAACAACAAAAGAATTTAGCAGCAGGGAAAAGCAGATCAAGAGGATCCTGCACTAGAATAGGAGCCGCTTCCTGTTTAATAAATATTTGTCTTGAGAGTTTTTAAAAGGAGTAGCCCTTAGAAAACAAAAACAGACAATACCAGAGAGAAAAGCACTAGAAGAAACAAACAGGTGCTATGAAAGTACAAAAGTAGTGTTTTGCAGACTGCAGAGATATAATTGGAAGTTTTATTAAAATAGTAATAATGACAATGAAAGTCTTTTTCCCTGAAAAAGGAGGAGAGAAAAAAAATAATCCTTTCAAACACCCCCTCTGAACTCTCAAAGAACCGCCAATCCAAATGAAACATTTGACTTTCATTTCCGATAGGAAACTGAAGCGATGAATACATTATGACTTAAGCTCTCCTGCTTATACACGCAAACAAATTCCATTCTTCCCAAGGAGGAGAAGAAAAGCATATATCCTTTTGGACAAGAGCTAACAATACTTAATAGCTTGATGATATCAACAGGCTGATTCACAGACTTGTGAATTCATTTCAGTGTGTCACAGAAATGAATTTACCAGACCTATTTGTTATTCTTTGTTTACCTTCAGAGTGAATTATTTCACTTTTCATCAACAGGAAAAAACAAAACCAGGAAACATGTTCACTGAACTGTTGGACTTGCAAGTTTACGTGTATTGTGCATATGATGTGAGAAAAAATGAAAAACCTTGAGGTGCTTTGGTTTTTTTCCCTTTTCAAAGATAAAGCAATTCCATCTGTGGTTGCAGAGACAATGCCAACAACCAAAGCAACTACAGAATAAAGTTCAACTAAAGAAGGGTGAGACTGAAAGACGAACAAAACCAAAAAGTCATGATAGTACCAACAGTAATTAAAAATTAAGTGATGGAAGACTTTTAAGGCATGACAATTTCTATGCAAAATATTCTTTACACTGAGTAACAATTGTAACTGGAATTATAGTGTCAGCTTAGACAGAACAATGCCCTGATCTAGCATAGGTAATTCTTATGTCCCTAAAGGAGCAAGAAAAGACATGCCCATAAATACACAGATATAGCCAGAAACTAAAGAGAGTTTTCTCGAGAATGAATACTCTTATAGAATGTGAAATGCATTAGATGTCTCATCTTACTCTGTGGTAACAGAAAAACTGGTTTCTATGCTATTCAGACCCTTAAGTATCAATCAGGCAGGCTAAGTAGTCCAGTTAAGGTGAGATCATCTTCGTATTATGTAACAATTTTCTATAACATACATTAACATCACAACAAAATAAAGATTTCAAAACTGTTTTTACTTACCTTCTTTTTCAGCAAATGATTGACTATCTGCAATGACTTTTGGTATTTCTGGATTGTAACGAGTCCCCTCTGGGAAAATCACTAAATACATCTGTGGGATGAAAAAGAAACAAAATATACAAGCTCTTACAATGAATGTAAACTGATTGCTTTTACAGAAATTATTATCACTTGATAGGTCCATACTGTATTTACTCCACACCATCGATTACTCTAAGAATCCAAAGTAAATCATCACTTGAGCTAAAATTTCTCAGCTCTACAAAACTTACTGTTCAAAGTTCAAAATAATTTTCTTTGAATGTACACCACAGAAAGTTGCCCAGGTGATTTAGGAAAGGAGACAACATGTATCCATGAAAGTGAGCAAGTCAGGAGCAGCTGATGTCAGCAAGAGTATCTGTTTTGTTTAGTGGGTAGGAGGAGATTTTGAAAAGAGTCAAATATGTCACAGATGACCTAAATTATATTTTTTTCCTTTAACACTGATCTTGGATCTAGTCTTTCTTTATACTGAAATATACATTTAATTCCATCCACAATCAGAAACACTAATAACTCAAATTATGACAGATCAGCTACATGTACCTTTATGAATCTCACTGTATTAGATATTAAATGTATTATGAACTTAGTTAAGCATAATTTGAACTTTAAAGTCACATTCCTTCAAGCATGCACTTTGCAAAGTTAGATTTCCCAAGAAAATTAACTTGCTTGCCTATCCAGCAGCAACTGATTTCTCAAATCATTATACAGGTAAAGGTTGCCTAAGTACATGCATATCTGAGTGTAAAATTATGTACCCAAATATCAGCAGTCAATTTTGATGAATTTTCTATTTGCTTGTGAAACTGAACAGAGGTTTCCACCTCTCTTTTTTTTAGTGTGTCTTGCACAATCTCCTATGTACAAAGTCAATGCAAAACATCAATTAAGCAGTGAAAATTCCATATTGGGGGCCCTTCTGCAGAACAAAAGGCTACAGTCACAAATAGTAACTAGAATGGAGTCAAACGTAACACACTGACAGTAAAATCATGCCTACTGTGCCTAGGCTAACTACTTAGTTCGTTATCTTTGCAGAAATGAGTCTCAAGAAACATCTGAAAGAAAAAGAGATAGAGGGTTTACAAAACAGTCCAAGAAGGATTACCTCTGAGTAGAGGAAGACGCTGACAAGCGAGAATGCACATCGTGAAAAGATATAAAGTTAAATAAAAACTCAGAAAAAGACACACAGGAATATAACTTTGTGCTTCTGGCCCACAAAACATCAGATCGTGCTGGTATTGGACCTAATGATTGCAGAACAGCTTCGGAGAAGGCTGAAAGTAGAAGGGTAAGGCCCAGCAAGTGACCTCTCCAAAATCACCCCACAGTGAGGAAGGCTGAAAGATGTGCTGAGATGCAGAGGGAAGATATCAAGGACTGTGGGTGCCAACCAGTGAAGCCAGCATAAGACTGAGAAAGAGAAGAACTGAGCACATAGTCTAGAATCCGACAGGAGAAAAAGAAGATTAAAAAAGGTAAACCCACTGGCAGTGAAGTAAAGAGAGCTAGAGGAAAGGCTGTACTTGTCACGGCATGTTTGAGGAGCAGGAGAACTGGCAGATTGCAGAGGCAGGTAAAGTCCTAGAATGCTCAAGGACCGGCAGAAACCCAAGATGTATAGAGATTTGGTGGGGAAAGAGGGAAAAAAAAAAGGGTTTAAGAGGGAAGGTGCTTACTTTTTTGTAACATGACAGTAGCTGAAGCACAGGGACAAGTACAGGAATCCTTAGACCCAGCTGCAGTCCACACTTCCCCCAGCCATGCAAACATCTATGAGATATTTAAGCAAGTAAGTAAAACTTTCCAGAGTTAGCTGGAAAGGGCATAAGATTCAAATCTAGATGCATTTTTTTTTTGCTTTTCATAAACATGCTTATATTCAAATCACATAATTTGGATTCTTAAAATGGTACTTCAAGACGAGGTTACTCTCCTCTACTCTGAATAAAATGTTCAGCTCCAAAAGGAAATACAGAGGCTGTAATAGGTAATAGTTGACAAAGTAAAGAAAGTGAAGTACATGGCATCGGAATATCCCTCTTTGTGCAGCGGTCAGTACTGAAAAGCATGTAACAACATTTCAGGTCTTCAAAGTAGATAAGCACCCACCAAAAGCTGATTACACAGCAGAGGATAGCATCAACTTGCTCCAATCCTATGTGTGTAATACAAAGCAGGAGTTAAAATGATATTTTAATTATTCTCGTCAACCTCTAAAACACACAAAAAGAGATTTCTTGACCAGAATCTGAATATCTCTGAATTGAAAGCATAGCAATAAGACAAAGAAATGGCCTTTGCTTTAAATTCAGCATATATAAGCCTAGTATGTAGCTCACTAGGATTACTTTCCATGAGTAAAATTCATGAATGTAAACAGATATCCTAGTTATACTCGTGTACAGTCCCACACGAGACAAAGCTATTCTGACCATGCAATTCAGTCTACCAAATCTGCTCCTATGACTGCCTTTTCTTCCACTACAGGCTAAAGCTAAATCCTTAAGCGCCATTTCCAAAGACTGTTAAGAACCACAAATCTCTAAGATTTTAATAACTAAATAAGCTCCCCTGAACATGGATTAAGAACTGTTGAGATGTAGAAGGATTTTAATTGCCTAGAAACATTAGCTGCAGCTAAGGCAAATTTTAATACAGATTTTTCATCTAGGGCATTTAGCCACATAGAAGTTACGCACTTTATTACAGTGGTTGCAAGACACAGTCCTCGTGTGCAAAATGACATAGAAAATTTTAATTTTGCATTACCACAGTCCTCAATTCACTGATATACCAACATCAACCCAAGCAGAGTAGGTCCCTATGCTCAGTTACATGGTACTTTCATGCCCGTTCCTGTGTAACAGGTGGGTCTTAATACACTCACTATCTCTCGTCAATTTGAAAACTTCAAGGAATGGATCAAGATTCATTTAGCAGAAGCCTGCTGATTCTTGCTGGAGCCAGAAAACCAGAAAAGAGGCAGCGGTTACCCAGAAAGTAACCCTAGCATACTGTCAGTGTACTTGCCATAATCCACAAATGATGGTAAACCACAAAACAGATGATGGTAACTGCCTTCACCCCAATAGCAGCTCTGTTGTCAAGGTCTTCCAGGCAAAAAGAAACAGCAATGGCACCAAGAGGGGCTGTGCTTCCAGAGCAGGGGAGCAGGGCAGCCATGGAAGTCCCTGAGATAGATCAAGAGTGCCACAAAGGGAGCTGGTATGGGTGGAGCAGGGGAAGGGGGCACAAAGCAGCATGAGTCCCAGGAGTATGGAAAAAAGCCCAGATATCATAAACATACAGCGAGAAGAGGTGATAAAGAGAAAACCTGGTCAAGGACATGGCTTTGGAGGGTGTCCTGTGGAGTGCAGCTGCCACTCTGTAGAAGAATACAGGGTGCCAAGAAGTGGTGACTACTGACTAAAAGTATCTTGTGTTTACTGTGCTGTTCTCAGGTGGGTAACAAGAAGAAAACAAATATTTTTATTTATAAAGTTCAAAATTACATTAAAGAATGCATTTGCTTAGATTTAATATTATTACCGTTGCATCCTGACAACTAGACAGATTCAAATCTGAATGCACTTAGACCACTATCTAAAAGATATGCCTTTGATGAATTGGATGAAAAACATTAACACTGAACAAGATAACTGAGAAAGCATATCTGCTATAATTGGAATGAAATACAAAAAGTGATGTGAGGAAAGCAGGCAAGGACATCCAGGATTTAAAAAGAAGTTGTAGTTGCTAATTTGCAAATTGCTAACATGACAAAATAATTACATTAAGTCTTACAGCAGTGGCATTAACGTACATCTCCTCCAGGTTTTTATTGTTTGATTGGCACTGCTTCATATGACAAAGATTTATTCTGTGACTCAATGAACGACAAAAACAACTGGGTTAAATCCCACATTTCAGAATGCAGATTTCGTACTCTTGATGCATGATAAAAATAAATGTTACATTTTCAATTATGGAATTGAATAGCTTGTTGTTCAGAAGAGTTAACTGTATTAATAAAACAAGCAGATTGAGTACATCAAGTGTCAGACCAATATATTGTTACATTGAGAAGTACATTTATCTTGTTATGTGTTCCATTAAAACAACATTAGCACAAGTGCCCTTCAAACCATGTGACAATCTCTGCTCTCACAAGACCTAAAACTGCAATTCGTTAACAGTCAGATTTTATGGAGTTTTAAACAAAATCACATTGTTTCAAGTCAGTTTTGCCAACAAAAGGACGAATAACAAACCATTTGAGTGTATACTTCAGTGAGAGCCAGAGAAGCAAAGTACTCCCCAGAAATACATAACATTTATTGGTTCAAGATCCCCACTAAGAATACACAGGCTCAACTGCATTTCAGCCCAGCAGCAGAGATTTGTCCGTGTCTGATCGAGCTGTGCTGCATCTGAGAGGAAGAACAGACCAGGTGGGAGCAGCAGAGTAGGAAAAGGGGCTGTTTGAGGTGGGCAGAAGCCGTAAGATAAAGCGAGCAAGGAGCATCATGCAGCCCACTGTCCCTATACAAAACAAGGCACATCAGATCCAGTTCTACTTAAGAGGCCGCCTTATTTTTCCTGTTTGCATTCCATCTCCAATTTACATTTCATAAGATGGGAGGGGAAAAAATAAAAGGCACAGTATGACAGTAAAGGAGTTGCTACACTAACAAGAACAGAAGACTGGTTCTGCCTTCCTACACGTCTTCAGTTTGTTAATGGGAACAGGGACGGCTCCAGCCAGACTGAACATACATCATCTGGATTCTTTTGTTTTAACTGTATGCGAAGAGAAATTGTAAATAACAAAGTGACCCTTAACACATATTCCCGTCCGTCTCCTCTCTATTGGCATACAATTCTCTCCTTAGCAGCTGAAAGGCAAGCTTTGCTCTAGCACCACATTAAAGCAAGAACTCCACTACGTACTTGCAAAATGACTAAGCACCACCAGCTGCTCACTAAACTGAGGAAAAGCCTACTCTGAGCTTGTAGCATCCAGTGCATAAATTCTAATAAAAATTCCAGAGTAGTAAACTAATTATTTTTGCATGAATCTGAGTTCAAGGCATACTTGGTTTACTGATTAAAATGTCTTCATTTTAAAAGCAATATGGTTGCTTGCGAATGTCACACTAAGTTTCAGAATTGTGAAGTTTCTTCATGAATAATGCAGTAAGGACACAGGTTATCACATTCTTCTCCCAGCAGTAATTGTAGGTTACATTTAAATTCTCAGATAAAGTGGATTATACAAAATTTAGTCTTCCCTCAAACGACAACTCAATGGTCTGTGTCTTTTACCCCAGCAGATGCAAACATTTGTCTCAGTAAGTAGGTTTTTGACAGCCTTGGTTTGTAAAACGTAAGCGTCACTCCCTATGTAGTTTGACAGAAAGAAATTTAAACCAGAATACATTTCTGCAACAGTTAAATTTATTTCTTTTCTATACTGCTAACCCAGATAATAAGAGGAAAATGTCAACAACTGCCTGGTAACCATGTCTGTGCCCATTTCCAACACTACCAAACTCCTGGATAGCCAAATTACATCAAAATAGAAATGTACCCCAGCGGTACTAAGTTCATTTGGCATTTTCTTAAATAAATTTGCTATAGGCTTTTAATCCACGTACAGCTGAGGAGGGAGAAGAAAGATGATTTCAGGAAAAAAAAAAAAGGCCTTCTGGAATTATTTCATTTATTAATCACATGTAGATATCCACTATGGAATGCACAACCCACAGTAGATGTAGCATTAAAGAAAAACTTTGTTTAAACCTCCCCTTAGATTCCAGTAGGACTAAAATCACACACTAGCTTGTCCAGTCAATTTATAGCACTGCAGCCACACTGAACATCATCTGCAGGTTTCCAAAGACATGCAGAATTAGATGAGTTTCTAGGCACATATTCGAAGATTGTACAAAAAAAATAAATAAATCCATGTTTCTATAAAGGAGACTAATTTAATGCAGTTCAAATCCAGACTGTTAACTCCATCAAAACCTTATTATTACACAAACTCCAGCATTTTAGGGGGAGCCAGAAAGCCAGACTCAACCAGAAGCTGCCTCTTTGGCTCACATGAAATCTATGCGCCTCAGCATGAAAACACCCTGCGAGGATATTTCATCCAGGCTAACTTAAACGAATTTAATCAGCACTCTGCAGGGGGAGCAATTGCTTAGGGGGATGACTACAAATACATTTCATACATTCTGCAATTAGTCTTCGCTTGTTCCATTACAACGCAAGTTTTAGAGAAAGTAGAATCTTTACCACTGACATACAGAAAATAACTCGACGTGATGCAACCTTGTCACATCCCAAGACCCTCCCTGGTAAGGCGGGCACAAGTTACCACTACTGAATAGAAGCATTTTCTCCATGTGGACATCATTAGATTAGACACTGGACAGCCTAAGTCTAGTTGTAATGTTTCTAGTCTTTGTCATTTATATGCTAAAAACCGGAAACAGATCAGCTTTCTTATTTAAAACAACCCGCTCCTGCCCTGTTCATGCCAAATCTTAGTTCAAGGCAAAAGCAGTTTGAAACTTAAACAGGGACACTTTACTTAAGCCTCCCAGTAAGCATAAAACCAATTTACTTTTTCACCACAGACACATGCACAAACATAAACACCCTATCTCCAAAGGAAAAAAAAAAGACAACTATTATGGAGGTCAGAACAATCAGTGCACTCCTTTTACCCAAGCACAGAAAGTAATGGAAGCAAAGTACGGTGATTCTAACTACCGAGCCACAAGCCATACAGGGAAGTCATGAGAAAAGTCATTTGGCACTAACAATCATTCTTCAAATAGAAAATTATCAAGAGCTCTTCTCTTTGTTTGTTTATTTGTTTGTTTTTTCTCCTCCAGGAATAGCAAAGTTACTCAGTTCTAAGATGTCACTGCCATTAATAATGACTGATCATTGGGATCACAGAATCACAGAATGTTAGGGGTTGGAAGGGAGCCCTAGAGATCAGGTAGTCCAAATCCCCTGTCAGAGCAGGATCACCTACAGTAGGTCACACAGGAACGCATCCAGGTGGGTTTTGAATGTCTCCAGAGAAGAAGACACCACGACTTCTCTAGGCAGTCTGTCCCAGTGCTCTGTCACCCTCACAGGGAAAAAGTTTTTCCTAATGTTGTTGTGGAACCTCCTATGTTCCAGCTTGTGCCCACTGCCCCTTGTCTTGTCATTGGACATCGCTGAAAAGAGGCTGGCTCTGTCCTTCTGACACTCCCCTTTACATATTTATAAACATTAATGAGGTCACCCCTCAGCCTCCTCTTCTCCAAGCTAAAGAGACCCAGCCCCTTCAGCCTCTCCTCATAAGGGAGATGTTCCACTCCCTTCATCATCTTTGTGGCTCTGCGCTGGACTCTCTCAAGCAGTTCCCTGTCTCTCTTGAGCTGAGGGGCCCAGAACTGGACACAATATTCCAGATGTGGCCTCGCCAGGGCAGAGCAGAGGGGCAGGACTAACTGAGATCTGTTAAAAATGGTGTTTGACTTTCAGAAGTCAGGAATATCAGTCTCTGACAAGCATATAGTAGTCAAAACGTTGTCTTTTGAAATACAGGGAACACTAAACAGCAGTTTCTCAAGGAAAGTGCTACATCTCATATTCTAAGATTTAGTTTAAATCGCCCCCCACTCTCTATGTACAAAATCACAAAGTTAATATAATTCATAAAGGACTAGTCAAATTTTCCTAAGTTTAATTAGAGGTATCAATCTAATCACAGAAAGTAACTCAGAAAGTAACTGTAAAAATACAGAAAGTAAACAAATCCATGATTATCATCTTCTAGTTTATAGCTATCAGACATGGCTCAATTCTTCAACAAGCCTTTGCCATTAAAAAAAAATAAAAATCAAAGAAATGAGAAAGGAAAGTATAATCTTACCGGAGTCTCAGCTTTTATCTGGGCCCGCAACTTCTCTCTCATTTCTCTTTCGTTGAATTTGGCACTTCTTTTTACATAGACTCCTCCGTGCTAGCAGAGAAAAAAAGAAAAAAGAAGAAAAACTATTAAATATTTAAGCAACGTAGAATAGTTGACAGAGGAACAAACGAGAGAGCAATGACAAGTCACCTTTATGACTCATGCTGCAAATTGCCCACAAGACATTTTATTCTAGGATGAAAGCACTGAAAGTAGTTTTACATTTGCACATATTTAAGTACACAAAATCTGTTTAAACAAAGATCAGATCTAAAAGAAAAAAAAGCATAAGACACTTGAAATGTTTTGCGTAAAGATATTAAATAATTGACGATGGCATTAGAACCGACCCCAAGGATCTATCTATTCCTGACAACATCAACAAGCAGCTTCACTTGTGTCTCAAGGGAAAAAAATCATACAACTGAAGTTACAAGTACTTATAGGTCAATGTTTTCAGTTTTATGTGTCCACTTTTAAATAGTGATTACTCCAAATACTAGAATTACAAACATCATACCTAAACTTACAAAATTTATGAACAGCACAAAACTAACTAGCATAGGTCTTGAAAACTTCCATGCACCTTATTACAGAATCAAATTTTTAATAGTATACCAAGATACTGAATAAGTAACACAAAATCTTTAGAAAGGAAAGGATTTTATAAAAGTAGTTTTACTGAAAAACATTATTTCCCTGGAAAAGAATCATTTTATAACTTCTTCAAAACAATTTATCAGAAAAAAATCAGTAAAAGGACTATGGCAAGGTACACACAAAGAATCATAGAATCATAGAATGGCATAGGCTGGAAGGGACCTTGGAGATCATCTAGTCCAACCTCCCTGTTTGGGGCAGGGACGCCACCTCTCGACTAGACCTGGCAACACAATTTCCCTCATCATTTGCCTGTTCCATAGTTTTATCTACAGTGTAGCTACAAAAGGATGTAAACATACATGCTCCAAAATGAATCATAGAATCATAGAATGGTCTAGGTTGGAAGGGACCTTAGAAATCATTTAATCCAACCTCCCTGTCATGGGCAGGGACGAATTCTGAAAAAAGTAAAAAATTATATAGCTTCCAAATGAACAGAATTTAGTTTTTCAGGTACATTGTTTTCCTAACTGATTCCCTAACTTGGTAATACACTTTCCTGCCCACCTTGGCTACTGACATTCAGATTTGTCGGATAAGTTTCTGTGCATTCATGGTTTCACACACTCTTAACAGAAAGGTGACAGTACAACTGAATCTACTATGAACCGACCCTCATTCAAATGTCATATTTCAGGGGAAGATACAGCACACTGCAAAAACAGGTGTGGTGGTGTGTGTGAGCCATTATGTGTGTGGCATGGACAGGAATAAAATCTGAGAGGTTAGCAGGGAGCAGGCAGAAGATGCCTTTATGCGAAGTGCTCTCGGTCTTTGTTTTTCAAGGCATGGAGAGATGGCCATGCAGCTGCTTAGCTAGTAGGATTTTACATGGCTTTTAATTTTTTCTCCAAAAGCTGCAGTGGAAAGGAAGATAAAGCCCATTGTACGTTAATCCTATGTTTAATATCCTGTCTTGCTGTGTTACCGTGGCTGGCAGGTGACTAAACCCAAAAACTGAATCCCCCAGTCAATCGTGCTCCAGCATCACCTCACAAGCAGGTCATCAGTCCCGGACAGATAACAGCACGAGCAGAAAAATGTTCCATCAGCTGTGCAGCCAACAGAGAGCCACGTGTTATGTACGTACTCCACATGTAAGATTGTTTTTAAGATCTGGTGCCATTAAAGGGAAGCAGAAGTCTTATTCTGCATGGTGACACTCTCCATAACAACTGCTTTCAGGACAGGCAAACTTAGTTTGGTATACAAAATAATGCACCTCCTATACAAGACTTCCCTATAATCAGTACATCAGTGTTCTATGTGAGCTCAGCTAGATCAAGTTTTGATAAATGAGGGAAGGCTAGAATCAAAGTCTTGCCTTATTTATCAAAGTACTATCCAGTTACAGTAAACTGGGAAAATACCGAACTGCCTTATCCTTGTTTAATTTGGAGAAATCGAGTAACTACTGTATTGTTTGCAAATGGACACTGAAACACCAAAGATAGCTCTGGTGTCTCCACCTCAGACTTTTTAATGCTCAGAAATAGATTTGGACTTCTCAAGTAAATATGAGAACACGATTACATATTGCAAGGTCACCATTCGCTGTACACTATCCAACCACATAAAAATATCAGCTCCCCTATAGCACAGGGTTACAAAGCTGAAGAAAGGCAAGATGCCACTGACTATTTGGCTAAAATGGAGTAAAACCCAAAAGGGTGCACAACTGATGCCAAATAACAGAAAAGACAAAGACATACTTCCCATATGAAAAGGTTGTGCAAACTTTGGCATGTCAAAAATATTTACCAAAATTACATCCCAGCCTCACCAGGTGGTATAAGATGAACAGAAGCTAGTTGCATTTGGGTGGAGAAAGACAGGGCAAAAAAAATGTCAGATCCACCCAAAAATAGTAAAGCCAGTTTTATGAAAAGAAATAGCTCTACCTAATAAATCAAACCTGGAACATAACAGGTTAATTTAAGTGGTTCTTTTATTTTCTTGCTATTAAGACAGCTGCCTCCAAAGAAGAATGCTAGTTATGCAATTGTATATAATTCAAATTCCCCAATTTGTATTGCATTTCCTTTTCAGTAAGAGATCAAATATATGAATGCTTTGCGAAACAGATTTCTGGAAGTACTGTTTTTAAGGTTATAATTTTTTTCCGCTGTACTTTAAAAGCCCCTCTCTCAGTCAACAATGGATACTGTTTACAAATATACTTCCTTTGTGCCTGAATTTCGCTCTCCTGGACATCCAGACCACGTTTACTTCCAAACAGGATGTTTACCTGAGGTAGGGAATATGAATTCCGTGAGCATGGCGTAACTACGTGGCTCTGGAAACTTTTAGTGGAGTGTAAGTGACATCATTGACAGAACATCAACAGGAAGGGCAGGAAGTGTTTTATGTTTTTGCACTGTTTGGTGTGATAAAAACAATAAAAATACCTATTAGCTTGCACTGCAGTCCTGCTGCATCCCGTCTCATTCATTTAAAAACACACGCATCATCACCGTTAGTAAGCTGCCTTTCATTTGCATCACTAAATTAAATATACATATAACAAAAAACATATAATCATCACCCATTAAAACTTGTACAAGTTTTATGTTCTGAGGAATCCAAAATGGAACAGATTTTATTTAATATATATGTTTTGATTAAAAATGTAGGCTACATTCAGATTAATTTCCACAGGAACCTGCTTTTGACAGTCAATACAGCAGTCAGGAAACTGAGGACCGGATATTCCAGATAGCAATTGTAATTTTCCAAAATCTTGAAAAAAATCATTTCTGGACACCCAGTGACAGCGGATGGAATACATATCCTGTCTGTATTTTAATTAAAGCAGACTTAAATCACCATCAGTGTAATGACTACGGGCAAAGACAAAGGGCAAAATATTTCCCATGAAGCAGACTGGTCACTTTATTAGAAGAAAAAAGTAGAGAACCAGCATCACTAATGGAGATAAGCATTAGACAACAGAGCAGTCCATTTTCTCCCAACAGATATCCTCAGAAATATATGACAGGGTGTGACAGCCCATACTTATTTAGGGGATTGGGACAGCAAACCCAACAATAAAAAGACATTGTGAACAGTTTTCTTATTTTCTTTGCAGCATATACTTTTTCAAACACCGCGATTTCGTAAGAAAAGATGGCCATTATCCAGGCTCCAGCCTAGATTTACGGCCCACTTGCTGTCTAAAGCACTCATCCAGAAGACAGCAAATATTTTCAACCATCAAGCTGAAAACATCAAACCTGGATCTCCCAGTATCTCAGGGGACACACTAAGCTCTTACACACTGAACAGACGGTAGGAACCTCATCACTGCCTGTGCTCTACGATAAAATGGTGAGACAGTCCACACGCTAGTGACAGGCATCTTATGTGACGTGATCCAAAACACTGGACCTCTGTCCAAATTAGGTACCTACACTCAAGCTAGAAGGCAATGACCGTTTGCTGGGAAAGGTCACTGGTTAAGGCACTTCCTATTTTTCAGTGTATTAATTAGGCAGTTCATGGGTCTGTACATCCCCTTACCCAATGCTCTTCTAAACCCACTCCAACTTGCATGAGCCTCTTAAAGGCAAAGTTTCAGTGTCAACAGCCACACAAGGGCTATCCTACCTCTTCCCCTCTTCCAACCTGTGGCTGTATACTCACAACTTTCTCCCTTTCACCGCTTCTAGCAATCAACTGACCTGACTTGACTTAAGGATGCAAGAGTGCAAGTAGTGAGAGAAGAATGTGGAACCAAGAATGTGGGAGAGAGTGAAGCCTCCTATCCAAATGTACGTCTGTAGTTGCCTGCTCTTCATATATTCCTTTGCAAACTAATACGTAGTTCATATCACACCCAGTGAGTATTTCTCTCAATATCCCCCATCCTCTTGCGACAGGCCTGACTGTCGATTCAACCAAACTGTCTAATTGTATTAGAACTACTTTTCCAAGAGTTATTTGCTTTTTTTTGTGTGTGTGTCTAGGCATCAGCGAGTGTGTGGGATGCAGAAAGTAGATTAATTTGGGGGATTGGACTAGATGTGGGGGGTTGGACTAGATGATCTTTCGAGGTCCCTTCCAATCCCTAACATTCTGTGATTCTGTGATGTTCAGGGAACAGGTAAAGATCAAAGACAGAAGCAAAAGGAAAACAGTCTTAGCGAACAGGCACTTTGGAACAGTTACCGAAAACTTAAATAATTTCTACTGCAGCAACTAAGCACCCATCTGTTGATGAACAGCTCATATAACATACCAGTACTTCCAAAAACATTCCCCTCTACATTTATTTCATTTGTATATAGAAGTAGTATTGCTTTCAGAAAAAGTAAAAAATAGACATGGGAAATTCAAAGAGGGTTTTAGGGAGGTAAAGCCATCTACACTGTTCTCCACCGTTTTAGATTAAAGTGGACCATAGTCCATTGCTTCTTCTGTAACTGTGCAATGTTGAGTCACATCAGGTTGAGCTTTCAAACTAAAAGAAACCGGATGAGCATTATGGAGGAAGAGGAGAAAGCAAAAGGTAGTAACAGGAATATTGTTAGACTCAGCTTTTTGCCTAACTGAGGTTGAAAGCAAAATCATCACCACTTTCACAGATGCTGGGATCTGCTTTCCCTCCATAATATACTAAGGTCCAATTTTCATCTTTTATATTGTGCTAAAATCAAACAACTGAAAAATAAATAAGTACACCATAGCAACGCAAATTTACTCCTAATTTGTTATACAATAGAAAAAATCCCATACATTTAAAAAACAAGTCTGCTGAGCCAGCAGTGTGCCCAGGTGGCCAAGAAGGCCAACGGCATCCTGGCCTGTGTCAGGAATGGTGTTGTCAGCAGGAGCAGGGACGTGATCATGCCCCTGTGCTCGGCTTTGGCGAGGCCTCATCTCAAGTACTGTGTCCAGTTTTGGGCCTCTCACTACAAGAGGGACATTGAGGTGCTGGAGAGGGTACAGAGATGGGCTGCCAAGCTGGTAAAGGGCTTAGAACATAAGTCTTACGAGGAAAGGCTGAGGAATCAGAAGCTGTTTAGCCTGGAGGAGACTGAGGGGAGACCTTATCACTCTCTACAGCTACCTGAAGGGAGGTTGTAGCGGGGCAGAGGTTGGTCTGTTCTCCCTAGTGGTGAGTGATAGAACAAGATGAAACAGCCTGAAGTTGCACCAGGGGATGTTCAGGTTGGGTATTAGGAAGAATTTCTTTACTGAGAGGGTTGTCAGCCATTGGAACAGGCTGCCCAAGGAGGTGCTTGAGTCGCCATCCCTGGAGGTGTTTAAGAGATGTGTGGATGTTGTGCTGAGGGACATGGTTTAGTGGTGTTGATAGGGCTAGGACAAAGGTTGGACTCAATGTTCTTGAAGGTCTCTTCCAGCTGAAGCAGTTCGATAATTCTATGATTATACCTACTGCTAAGTGGGGATTTGGACTGTAAAAAGAGCAAAGTTCTAGAATATTCTGAAACGCTTCTAACAGATTCTAGAGTTTTAATTCTACTAATAAACAGCACCCATAAGAAGTATTCACTTAGAAAAGTACACTGACTCTTCAATAACTCCCTCTCAACTAAGTTACGCATCTAACTACACTGAGTGAAACCAGCTATTTTCACATTCAAAGACACAAACGTCAGCTCGGAATTACATCTTCCCAGCACCTACGATAAACGAAAGGAGAGTACATCTTACGTATTTGACCCACAAAGAGCAAGAAACAAGTGAATGAGCTTACCTGTGAAAAATACCACCCATAGAGTGGAAGCCATTTTAATCCATCTTTCAAGACATACCGGACATGCCCGAGAGCGTTCTGCCTAATTGCCAGCATGTCCGCAATAATCCAATCAACTGCCAAGACAAAAGCCCAAAATGTTCAGTTAAATTAGTTTTTAATTGCCACTGAAGAAACAAAAAGCACATCTTGTACACATAAATATCATTAAAGGTTTCTGAACTACAAGTTTTTGCTCGTTAGGACAAGGCTGGAAAGAGACACAGTAAGCAGACAAGCAGATTGTTTTTTTTTAAAATCTAAGACAAAAGGAAATACAAACCTGTACACTGATGATTTGATAAATATATTACATTTTCTTTATTTTTTGGCAAATCCCCGTAGATTATTACCTAAAAAAAGCAAAAAAAAAGGTAGTGTTACTTTATTATTTTCATCGCCTTAGGCAGTGATGAGATCCAATGCAGTAATTAGCTATTTACTAGGAAAACTGCCAGCAAGTTAGCACCATTAACAGAAAAACACCCATCACTGCATCAGTACCCATCACACATACACCTGATTTATCAACAAAGCAGTGAGTATTATCTAATGAAGACTTAAGAAAGCTATGCTGTTCTTGTGCCTCAGCCCTAGAACTCCATCCCCGGTAGCTGACTTACATTCACAAGATCCATACATTAATATATTTACATCATAGACACACACAAACCCACCATTTAACTTCACATATCTAGTGAATAAGACATGCTTCAGCAAGACACTCATTAACATTCAATCTAAAATGGTAAATTTTCCTGGATTAGATCAAGAAGAAAATCCCAATCTGCCATGATTTTAACCATCAAGAACAAACAAAAACCCAGGAGGTTGACAGGTGTCTTTAAACCGGTCTTCAGCTTCCAGTCAGCAGGTTTTGCTATGTATTTGAGGGGTTTTTTATTAAAGACACTCTTTAACCTTGCAATTTCCTGTCCATGAAAGGCAATTGCCTACTAGTGAAATAACCTTTTGAGAGTATGACTACAACACAAGACGCTGAAGCAGTAATCAAAGCCCATTTTAAAATGAAATAACTCAACTAGTTCTATTTCAAATATAAAATGAGAAATTAATTAAACCATTTCAACTCCGAACTGAAGAACCCATATAGTTGTTTAATTATCCTTAATAAGTATTTTCATTATTTAATGAAGCTTAGTTTTTCCAAGCAGTACGTTTCAGGCAGCACCAATAACTACTCCCTGTTTCTAGAAGTTAAACACGCTCTTCTTTGAAGAGGCTCCATCCACCAAAAAGCAAAGCACTATTTGGAATTTACCCACTTATGATCACCTCCCTAGTTTGGACCATCTGAGAGTTTTAACAGGAAGATCTAACTAATACTCAGATCTTGATTCACATCATTTAGTATGCTGAATTTTTTATCAATCCTTAGAGAACATCTTTGTGAGCACCTCTGGAGAACTTGCCCACCTCTCAGTTCACCTGTGATACTGGATGGGTAATGCCTTGAATTGGAACACCAGCCAAGGAACATCAGCCAAAAACCCCACATAAAACTGCATGAATGTTCCTTCTGTTAAAATGCAACTGCACTGTTGATCAAATTTCCTTTTCAAGGCAAGAAGTATTGGCAAACTTAGATATTCAGTAAATATGTGAACAAGGGATCATCCAGCATACAGTAAAAAGAATATTACTTATTTGATCTAATTAAAAAAAAAGGCCACGCACAATAAATTTTAACTGAACGTTGTTTGTAACAAGTCATTTGAAAAGTATATTCTGGGTAGTATCCAAGAAATTCAAACAAAATTTTGCTGTAGGAGTAATTTTCTCCTTGAAGTTCCAGGAGGATTTATAACCCTGACACTCTTGGAACCACACACTACTCAGTGCAAGGTAGGAGTCAGAGGGACTGATCTCACAGTCCAGGTGCAAAAATTCCAATGAAATAAAAAAATAATCTTCCTACTCTCACTTATGGAGTTAAAGCTTCATTTTTTCAAGTGCACACTTTCCCAGCAGTGTTGCGCACTAGGTCCATAAATACTGTTTTCTTTAATTTCAAGTGAAGGCTCCACGATGCATATTCTGGCTAACCCTGTTTTAGAGGAAGGGAAAAGGCCCAATAAAACAAAACATCAAACCAAAAGGCCCTTAACGTTCTCTGCGCTTTTTTTTAAATGTAAGAAAATAAGAACAAGAGGAAAACAAAATCTGCCCTTGACAAGAAACAGGGTTTGAAATATAAAATTTATAGCAACTTTTAGAAATTTCCACTTCAGTGTACAGTCAAAATCTCAGTGTAATCAGACCCACAATTCAAAGCATTCACTTGTGACCATTGCATAAGTAAAAACAAATATAAAGGATCATTCCCTTAAAAAACCATGTATGATTGCGTCTGCCAAATGTAACAGTTAATCTGTATTATTTTTTATTTCACTACGATTGGATCTAGTTCACTTTTTAATCCCAGAGGAACACTTGCTCATTGTTACTGTAAGCAATTTCTGTGTACAACTTTTTGTTTTACTGTAAGAATTATGTGTTTACATGGAACAGATCAAAATTTTTTTACTCAAGCATATAGTCATACTATTGTAAAAAATTATAAAAAAGAAAAAAATAAATCTTCTATTTATAATTCATCCAACATTAATCACAAAAAAATAGATATTTTATTTCGAAGCAAAGCAAGGAGTGAGAAAATCTGAAAACTGTTTTGTTTGCTCAGATGGCTCAGCCTAAGAGGATTCAGCAGCTTTAACTGCATCATCATTTACTTCAGCACTGCCCATTTCAGTAATCTCAAGAAAAGGCTTATACAGTTCATGAAAGGCCAGCAAACAGCTATTCACATATTAGACATTCAGAGCTATGAACTGAGAGCTACAAACTTACAACTACTATTACAACCAGGTAAGAAAGGCAACTTTCAGCCTGCATTCTCTAGAGGCTTCTTCAGATCTCACAGGAGACACTACTCTGTGGGCAGCCACACAGCCCTCCTTCTGAGAACGAAGCATTTTTGCTTTATTACTGTGTTTCGGGAAAGTTTCAGAGACCTTACATAACAGAGGGCTAACAGAGCTTTGAATCCTGCAGAAACATTGCCCTTTTCCCTTTGAGATGATGTATGAAGAATTCACCTGCTTCTGGATACGAAGAAGAATCCCCTCGTGGCAAGCCTTCAGTTTCTAGCAGCCTGATGCTTTTAGGTGAACCAGAACACCCAAAGTGTATTATAGCTGCAGAAAGAAATGACACAGTACTCCTCTTCATGTGTTGCCAGGTCTAGTCGAGAGGTGGTGTCTCTGGCCAAAACAGGGAGGTTGGACTAGATGATCTCTAAGGTCCCTTGCAGCCTAGGCCATTCTATGATTCTATTCTATGATTCATGGTCTCCAGAAAACCTCCAACTCCTTCCCAGTATTTGTAGATAACTTTGCAGAATTCCCTGCTGCAGAGACTGTGCAGTCCCTGGCTGCTTCTCAGACTGCTGGTGCGGAAGAGATCTGAGGACGGAGGGTGAAGGCAAGCACTTGAGTGAGTTACCAGGGACAGTAATGCAGAAACAAGATTGTGCGTGTGTCCCTTGTGCGCCTTTTGGAGCAATGAAGAGAAGAGAGTGGCCTATGAGACTCCTAGTCTTCTTGAGAAGGACGGTGCTGTCCCTGGGGTGTGCACAGCACCAGGGAGGGTGGCGTTCCCCACGGCAGGGCACTCACTAGCCAGCACCAGGGAAGCGGGCCAGGATGTGCTTGGGTGGCAATTTTCAGCTTCAGAAGCTGACGTACCTAACATTAAAGATATTTTACTCACAGATCTCCAAATGCCACAGTATACATATGTTCTACCTATGTATCAGCTTGAAAGACCTATCCTGTCTGCCACAACAAAGCAAGCGAGGAACCTATTCATTTGAAGAGCTGCTGCTTTTTAAAAAGAAAAAAACCCACAACAATAAAAAGTTAAAAGAGCAACACAACAAGCCAAAACATTTAAAATGCAGATTTATCAGCATTGCAAACATCACTTGGGCATAGAATATTAAAATGTGTGATTTTAGCCATGTTTTGCTTGCTTCACAGCCCAGTTCACAATAAAAAGTTCCTCTTAATAGAAGTCTTTCACACAGCAGTGCTCTCAAACTCAATTCAGTGAGGTCTCAAATAAAGGAAACGGGATGCTGTTAAGACTCCTTTTTGTGGGAAGGCTGGTAACCCAGTTCCCTCCCTGCCATGCACCAAGCTGTTCACACGCTCAGCAGGCACAACACACATCCCAGAGCGTCATGGCCAGAGGAAGCTCCGATTTACTGGCAGCAGGTTACAGGTTCTCCTGAGAGGTGAATTTTCTAATTCAGCAACAGGCCAATCTAGGCAAGCAAATGCCAGCTCACAGATTATCTGTGGGACCAGTGTCAGCTTTCCTAGCAGCCTCTGTCTCTTCCAGTGCAACACACTCTACTACAGATGTGCTAGCATGGTAGGTCACGCAGCAAAACAGTCCTGCATGGCAGCCACACCTGAGTAACTCAAAATGTGCATAGGTTTTCACCGCAAGAAGGTGGACACTCCTCATTTAGGTTTTTATTTCTTGCTTATGACATCTGTACTATACCAAAGAAAAAGTAAATAGATATTATTTAATCACATCTTAGCTGCATCAGCAGAGTAAATAGGGCCATAGCAAAAATAACTCGAGGTAAAAGCAAACACGCCATCAGAAGACCCGCTTGCAGGTCAGCTGGTAACAACATCAAACTCCTAGCAAAGAGATTTCCTTAATATGATAATTGGCTGTAGCTGATAATGGGAGCAGCTGAGGAGCCAACTCGCGAGCAGATCTGGCACTTCTGCTTCAGTGGCAGTAAGGCAACACAGCTGGTTATTGGTGGTATGAACTCAAGTATTCTCATCTGATTTCCTATCCCAAGTCTGCCAGCACACTCTTGGCTCCTCAGACTTCTCAACCCCCCTCCCTTCTCTGTTCAAAGAGACGAGGTGTGATTTGCAGAGTGATGCTCCCTTCCTTGCTGTTACTTCAACAACGCTGATGTGCACTGGGGCACTTTGTGGAGAAGGTGGAGTATTCAGGTCTGGAAAAGCATCAGCTTCAAGCACAGGCAATAGCAACTGGAAAGAAGGATAAAAACGGTAGAATAGCGGAGAACATTCCTTCCCTCTCCTGGAGGAAGAGAGGAGAAAGAAAACATTCAAGACATGAACACTTCACTTAAGAACACATAAACTTCATATACTCAGCTGTGCTACCCTCACAACATGTACTTCTATCTCCATTTTGCTATTTCTTTCTGACTACTTTTATAGCGAGCACTGCATGCTCTGTGGGACAAGAGCGTCTTTGTTAGCTGGGTACTACTAGAGCACTTATTAGAATAAATAGTACCCTAGGATGTATTTCTCATCTGTTTGTTTAAAAAGTCAGGATATAATTTTGTGGTGAAAGTGTGGAGCTTGCATCACCGAATGTCCAGAAGCAGCTACCAGACACAGCTTCTGACGTCAAGGCGTAACCCTGTGCAAGCTGACTCCTGCAGCATTGCTGTAGGCATCTTATGGGAAGTTGTTTAAACTCTTCCTCAATCTAAAAATCTGCCTGATGGCACTACCAGTCCTTTGAGCTTCTACAGATAGTACCTCAGATCACAGAGCCTATTTACCCTGTTTTGCAAGAAGCAGGGTCAAGACAGGATACAAACAAGGAACTCGCACTAGGTGATGACAACTTTCTCAGATTTTTCAGATATCCTGCCATAAGAATTTCAAGTATTTATTTTTCTTCACAGAAGATAAACCTTTTTATTCACATTTAACGGATCAGGATTTCACTCGCCTACAGCATATGGAATATGAATAGGACAGAAAGTAAAATACTTCAGTTGCTTTTGGTCTAGATCTATTAAAAAAAAAAAAAAAGAGTTTTACCTTTAGGTACTATGTTTTAAAAAATATCTTTAGGTCACATACAGTTTTTAGGTAATGATCATATTATTGCTACAGCTCATAAGCTCTTTGGTTAGACTATCTACTCAATACATAATTGCACAAGTCTGAAGTCTGCTGTTCGAGCTCAGCATCAAACCATAAAATCACAATGCAATCCATTTTATTGAAGCAGAGAGCTCACTTGGATATTCTGCAGCTATCTATTTTACTGGGGTTCAGTGAAGAAAACCATTGCCAAGAGACTGAGCTCTGGAGAATATTGAGAATATGTAATACAATTTTATTTTTTTCTACAAACCATTCCACTGAATCAAAACAGAGAACTTAAAAAAAAAATACATTTACTGACATATTATTTCCTTTTTGTAAAGACTGTATTAGCAACCCATGCGGATTATGCAGGAGCAAATCATACCATTTTAAGTGAATTGTGAAGTTTCTGCTTTCATGCTAGCTTTTAGCCTTATGGCCTAGATTGATGAACTGTTATGAACACGAGTGGTTATAGCTCATTCAGTGGCACTAGCTACATGTATAAAAGTCTAGTTCTGATGCTGACTGCAAAGGCTCTATGTCTTTAAATCAGCTGAGAAGCTAACTGACTCCTGAATTAAGAGAAAGCTTTCTCTGGAAGAATCAGAATCAACAAAAACTTACAAGGAAATATAGTTACCTTGTGAGCTAATAATATCTATGTCAGTAGAAATACAGCTGTAGAGTCTTTCATTCTGTGCATACTTGACTATTTTTTGTATTTGAGCATAAAAAAAACCCTTGGAAATATTTAGGCTGTAAGAAATTAGTTGCCTAATTTTCCAGAGTTTTATAATGAATTAAATAACTTTCACTGCAGGCAGGCCATCTGAAGAAAAATCTTGATAGTTCCACTGCCGTAAACAGCAGTAATCACCACACTTATTTTACAGCAAAAGCTAGAAACCTTTCATACGGAGAAAAAGTTAATGAAATGTTCTGAGCATATACTTTCTCGGTAAACCAGCAGCCCAAATGATGGCAACATTCCCTGTTATTCTGAATAACTCTTAACAATGTTATTGCAATTATAAAAAAAACAAAACAAAACAACCCCCAACAAACCAAAACCCCCCAAAATACAAAAGCCTCACAATCCTTTAAAGAAAATGAGACACTTGTCAGCACATGAGCAGTATCACATGTTTAACCAGACTAGTTCTGTTTTCAGTGTCCACCTGCCTGCAACTTCCATAGATGCTGCAGAGAGGACTAAGATGGGAAGGATTTAATCCTACAGCGGCATTATGCGCTTTTGCTTACAGTCACAGAATCACTGAATGTCAGGGTTTGGAAGGGACCTCGAAACATCATCTAGTCCAATCTCCCTGCCAGAGCAGGATCACCTAGTACAGGCCACACAGGAGCACATCCAGACGAGTTTTCAATGTCTCCAGAGAAGGAGACTCCATAACCTCTTTGGGCAGCCTGTGCCAGTGCTCTGTCACCCTCACAGTCTTCCTCAGAGTCTCAGATGGCAATTTCACAGAACAGCAGGGCTTGGAAAGAGATCTCTGGAGATCATCTAGACCAACTGCCCTGCCAGGGCAGGTTCACCTAGAGCAGGTTGCACAAGTGGCGCCCAGGTGGGTTTTGAACGTCTCCAGAGACAGAGCAGAACATTGCAAACCACTTTGTGCACACCAGTCTAACATTACCCAGAGGGTGATGTGTATAGTTTCGCAACTTCTCATTCAGAGGGTGATTCAGGTGGTGATTATTGTTTAGAGAAGGGGCATGATGTACAGCAAAGTTCTGCGAAATATCCATAATACCTGGAATGTCCAATCTGAGCAAAAGCTTGATTTCAGTGAAAATAAGGTTCCACAATACCAAATACGCAGGGGCAATTTGAGTTCACTTACGCTTATTTAAACAACAGTCCCAGACTAGATTCAACAAAAGCACATCGATCAGAAGCAGGAGCTCTTGGCTTTCAGAGGAGCTTGGTGCTGCAGAAGGGTGTTCACAGAAACCCACGAGCCTGCCAGCTTTGAATTGCCAGAATGTAGCCCACTGAAAGTAGATGCATACCTTAAATCCCATCCTGCCGTACAACAGTACTCACTCCTGTTGAAGGTGTGTCTATGGCGATTCTCTCTGCTGAAAACAAACTGCTAAATCATATTTTTAAGAGATGCTATCTGAGGAGCACTAAAAAAAAAGAAAAAGGCATCTGTATAACTTAACTGTTTCAGTCTTCATGACAAATAAAAGTGGGACTTATCGTGAACATGATTTTCAGATTTTGGCACCTAGTTCTGAATAAATCTTACTTTCAGTGCCTAGATAATTCACTGGATCTTTCTGCAATTGACTTGCTTTTGATTACACTGCAGTTCGATGGCATGGAAGAGGTCACAATTATAACCACCGATGACTTCAGAAAGCCACAGTATCTAAATAACTTTTATCATAAAACACCAGTAGTTAACATTTTTAAAAAAACCCAAAACTGCATGTATTTCAAACATAGAGAGAGAGCATGTGAAAGGAGATTATTTATAAGCTGAGATTTGAACTGAGGACTTTTTCTGAACATCTGGCATCTTGGTGTTATGCAAAATCTGAGCACGCCTTCCAGCACAAGAGTGAAAGAAGTATTCTACCTGTTTGATTAGGAGAGAGTCTCCCTTAGAAGCCTTTGGCACCTCTGAAGATTTTTTCCCTGCAGATTTTTATAATTTCCTTAAAAGGAAAAAGTAACACACATTTAATGTAGCTATTGCTTACTTTATCACTCTTCTGTAGTGGAAAATACATAATGACCACATTCCATCCCTCCCATCCTCCCTCAAATAGCAGCTATGGTGCCTTGGTACATATTAAGCACATTCTGGAAATGTCATCCTCTGTGCACCACATACCAGCCAGAACCAGGCAACCTCATGGCATTTTGTAGTGCTCCTCTAGCTAAAGCTCTTTTAATAGGAACTTTGCTTCTAAATGCCAAAGACTCCAATAAGGAGTTGATTGTATCTTTTATTTTGTATCGCACGTACGAGTGTTTGTATCAAGTATGGATAAAATCAGTGTTGTGAGCTGACACGCATGGGAAAGGGGATGATTAAGAAACCTCTATATGCCATGCCCTGTGATTGTGCAACAACTTTTGAAAGCTCCTCCATATGTTGTTTTCAGTAAGTATTTAGAATTTTAGCACAACAGACTTTGGAGGTGAGGCAAAGGAACCATTACCTTCTTACACTGCACAAGAGAACATGCATCTCAACTAGCCGCAGCTAATCTGGCTCCAGACCTGAACACAGTAAACTTGCATCAGTCTCAAAAAACAGCCACTGTTAACGATCACTCTAATGTCTGCACACCACCACCAGGTGTGAATGAATCCGTTTACCTGCAGCTCGCTCAGGATTATGCACTATGTTTACTTAAACAAAAAGAATCACAGAACGCTAGGGGCTGGAAGGGATCTCTGAAGATTATCTAGTCAAACCTCCCTGCCAGAGCAGGATCACCTAGAGTAGATCACACAAGAACACGTCCAGGCAGGTTTAGAAAGTCTCCAGAGATGAAGACTCTACAACCTCTCCGGGCAGCGTGTTCCAGCGCTCCGACACCCTCAGAATAAAGAAGTATTTCCTTATGTTTTGGTTAAACAACTGTTTTCCAGTTTGTGACCACTGTCCCTTACCCATTCTCTGGACATCACTGAGGAGAGTCTGGCCCCAGCTTCCTGATACCCATCCTTTAGATATTTATAAGTATTCATGAGATCCATCCTCACGCGTGCCCTCAGATTCCCAAGTAGCGTTACGAAACGGGATGGGATCACTCTTCATGACAATCCACAAGTTTCAGAAGTAAAATCATCACAACCACAAGACAGTTCAAAGTCATCCAAAATAGTTGTCTTTGCATCTAGTTATGTACACAAATACAGATTCAACCAAATCACTGGTAGCTTATTTTATATTTAAAAATCAAACTAGCATAAACTCTATGATTTCCTAGTCCTACATTGAAGAACTCATTGTAATAGGGAAGATGACAACTAGTATGTGGCAGAAATGAAATGAACAGAAGAACAAAATAATTTCCCTGTTTTATCCCAAATCTCTTCATAGCATAAATTCAGACTGACAGAACAAAGATTAAAGAGTATTTTTCCCCTGAGAAGACAGGCTTCCTCATAATTGTAATGTCAAAATCCCTGACATTTGAGCCTACTTTATCTAACACAACTAAAACTGAGAAAAAAGGATATGCTGTAAGCCTGAGGTAAATAGTTTGAAATAATTAGAGTCAAATGTTTAGCTATGAATAGAATCTCTTCTTAGCAAGAACAGTCTGATGGTAGAGTACCAGGAGAAAAAACTTCTCAATTAACAATCACCCTTACATAAAGTATCTGGACATATTATGTAAGCAGAAGGAAAGGGCATGGAAGAGTACTGTAAAACTCCATGGCCCAATACCTACCAAAACCCAAACATAAGAAGAGGAAAGTGTATAAAACTCACACAGGTTTAAAGAAATGTAAAAAACATGTAAAAAAAAAAAAGATAAATACCACTTGCATTTTCAAATGTAACAAATAATATAAGTTGTCCTGATTTTTTGTCAAGAACTAAATACACTAAAAATCTTAAGATATTCAAATTAAAACATATTTAAGCAGAAAAATTTAAAATCAGATCATGAGAATGTACAATTTACAGGTCAAATACTTGGAATCAAAATTTATAGGTGCATTCAAATCTGCCCTTTGATGCCTTAGCTTTTCCTACCTATTTGACTTTTTAGGATTTTGGTCAATATATGTATCTCACTTTAAAATGCAAACACACATATTAGCTTTAAATTGCAGACTGAGTTAGCTAAGGTTGATATAAAATTCAGATTTGGTTGTGACTTGGCAATTACTATACATATGCAAGGCAAATGTCTACACAGAGCTTCTAATTTATGAACCCAAATAGCAGTTTGGGTTCTGGTAGTTGATAACTGATTTCTAAAAATGGTAACAGACCTCAGGTTTAATTTATTTATTTTATTTTTCATAGATTGGGCAAGAGATGGGGGACGATCAGGATCAGCACTGAACGTGCAATCTCCCCATACTAAATTCCTTCCAGATTGCCCCAGAGTCAAATTTGCAGCACACCAGAACTCCAGCAGTTACCCCAACAAACCAGAGTCATGAAGGACTTCATTTTCACCTTCAGAATGATGGCCAAACACAGACAGTCCAAAAATTAAGACACATGCAAATGTATCTTTTGCAATATCTAAAAATGAAAGAGCACAAAGCCTACATACCTAATGTATCTATTTTTACTGCCTCACACCACAGTTGAACGTAAGAGTCTAAAATTAGGCATCTGTCTCAATTCGAAAGCTGCATCCCTCAGGCTTAGCAGGTATCACTTAATTTCTGCTATAATAATGCAGAGGACTTTGCTGTACAGTATAAAAGACATATATGGCTGGAGATAGCTGAGCATTGAAATTTCTCATGAGGTGAGCCATGGTAAATCGTGTCCACGTGCGCCGTGTCACAGCAGACAAATTGCACTGGGTTTCTTTCAAAAGTTTATCACACCAAAGTGATTCACTTCACTATGTTCTGCAGTGGTGAATCAATCTTTGCACTGCACCAATATCTACCATTCCCCCGAGACCTTTATTTCATATAAATGACAAGTTACTAACATCTTAACTTCTCGACACACCTCACAACAACTTACTTTCGCAAAGCGGTGACATGAGTGGGCGCTAACAGGAGTCGTTGCCACAAGCTACGTGGAATGAAGTAGGAACACATAAGCCCTCGGAGGCTGCTCAGGGGCCACCTGAGCTTGGAGGTTTGCCTTGCCGGCAGCCTCTGTGCCTTCCCGCCCAGCTCCCATACCGTACCAGTACTCTCCCAGTCCTGAGCTGCCAGACTGAGAGGAGAGCTTGGGGAACTCAAGTGCAGGTTCATAAAATCAGGCTTGTACCAAAACACTATTGCCAGCTCATTCTTTCTAAACACAACTGGAGAAGGGTGAAAAGCGATGTCTCCTTTTGACCTTCCAGTTGCCCAGGGAAACGGGTCCTCATCTTGAGGGAAGTCAGACTCTGTTGCACACATCTACCAAGAGCTACAAGACAAACCTTCACCCTGCCTTGATGAAGCCTGGTTATGATGTCTCTTGCTATGGAGAGAGAACCAGATTCCCAAGAGACGAGTTGTCTCACCTCACCAACTACCTCCCAGACGTGAGTAGGCTGCGACATCAGCCTTATGCTCCCCACCTCTGCCTTGGGCCCTCCTGAATTACCTGCTGGATGGCTGAACAGCTTCAAAAGGGGAAGCAGGGAGTAAGTAAGGATAACCTTGTCTGGGAAAGCTGCTGTCCTGGGAACAGAGACAGGCTCAGACCTTGTAATCCTCACTTCCAAAGCAAACTGGCCAGCAGCTAGAAGACTAAGCAGCCATCCCAAGCTCACACACCGAGCTCTCCTCACATATTTCTTAGGAAGCCAAGAAATGACACACAGCCTGGGCTCCACTCCACTGGAAAGCACTGTCAGAGAGTTCAGCAGCACAGTGTCTCTGCAAAGTTTTAATTTCCTATTAATCCTCAGTAGTTCTGAACATTGTTGAGGCACAGCAAGTCCAAGCTTCAGTACCAATCCAGAAAGCACACTGCACTGTTTAAAAGTGATTTCTTACATTTTCTAAAATAATTTTGCATTCTAAAATGAATTCTAAAGTAACAGAAATACCACAGCTCTGCTGAATAACGTTGAGGTAGCATGTGATTTTCTCACAGCCCTTCCAGAGTTCCATAACGACCATGAAAACCAGAATTTCATAATGCCTTTAATGAAAGCACCGCTTCCAAAAACTCCTATTCAGTGCAGGGAAGAGAGCTGACACAAGCACCGAACAAAATCCATGCACATTAATTCAGTCATGGATTTTATTCAATTGTCAAAACCTTTCAGATGGAAAATGATCCTTTAGGAAGCAGCCTGAGTGATGATTTCTTTATTATTTCTTCACCACCACTCAATACAAAATATCAAACACAATTACAACAAAAAAAAAGTTGAAGAACATTTAGTCCTCGTCTGATCTGAAACATGTGCTCAAACACAATAGGCATTAATTTCATCACCCTAGCAGCAATCGGGATAAGATGCTAAGGGTCACAGCGAGATGATAGCATTCATCGTACTGAATTACTAGTCCTTTCAGCCCTTCAAATGTCCTAATCACAGGCATATCTGCAGTTGTTTCGGTTCTCACGTTTGGTAGTAAGATGCAACTGCTCCTTGTCTGCGTGAAACCTAAGAGATCAGACTTCCCCAACACAGTAAAGACAAAAGCAGTAACACAATCACAGCTCATAGGCTACTTGACGATTTAGAGACTCAGGGCCAAGCCAACCACTCGCACGGATGAAGGCGAGTCTCCCCAAGCGCCTGGACTGCACCTGTTCCTGTCAGTGGCCGCTTTGGCTCATCGCTGGCAAAATCCTGTGCTCACTAAGACTTTCTACTCACTTTACAGAGAGTTCAAGCATCTTGTATATATTCCTCCTGGCAAAGAGTACTGTAGGTCACAGCAGGACAGGCGGGAAGCGACACAACTGCATTTGGATCAAAAAGCAGCGCAGGGCCAGAGTGGGGCCATTCTCTCCGTGCTGCTTTCCAAGAGGTCGCGTTCACAGAGTTTCATCACTATGAGTTTATAATCCTGGAGGTTGTTGAAGAGCACTGTCACAACGCCACATATGGATTCATTTTATATATCTATGGCTACTTAATAAAATTCACTGGTATCTGCTAAACTGCAATTGCCCTTGACATATTTACTCAGCATTGCAGGATTTTGCTTTATAGTCATACTGGCTTTGTCCAGCTTACATCATTTACAGGACTCGTATATTCTGGATTGCTTTTTGTGCTCTAAATACTAGTTCTTCAGTTTTCTACAGCCAACTCCTGCATGATAGTCAGCAAAAGGGCTATTTTTGGCAATTCATTAATAGAATTCTAATATTATTGAAAAACCTAAACTGATTCTATCTTCGCTCAAGAACTCTTAGGCTTTGTAAAAACAAATTGTTTTGATGGAAAAAAAAGAAAACAGGTATGACCCAAAATTTAAAATGGGAAAGTATTTACAGTCTGAGAAAGTAAGAAACTTGTGCAGTTATTTCGTGAGCCGCTATCTAGAATATAAATACTCAGTAAGGGTTCACAGCAATCATAGCTCTGTAACTATTTTAATCTCATGTCAAATACTTATAAAAAAAATATTAGTCTTTCATGATTTTCTGTCATGTAGATCAGATTTTCACTTACTTTGTTACATTTCACAACTGAAAAGAATTTGCTGCAACGATAAAATGCCTTCCTAGCATGAATTAAGAGTTTTTGTTTTAATAAACTTGGCTAAAAACATTCAAGTCGAGAAGAAAAAAAGCACAAAAATACCTTTGTGTAATAATCTACGTTTATAATGGGCCGTTGGACGCCCATTTATCCATCGGCAAAAAAGCCAAACCCAACAGACTTCAATCGATTGAGTAAATTAATAGACCTGAAAGACAGATTGTACTCCTCCCTCTCATGGCTATTACAATGCCTTAATGCTGGTAAAGCCCTGCCTTTATGAAGCCATGCAGAAGTTACTATTCTTGCATTGTTTTTTGAGATTAACTGACTAAGTTTAATGAAGCTACACTTCTGCATCTTATTACATGCCTTAAAACATTCACTTCACAGTGGCTCTCAGGTTACCATCCCAATCTCAAACACTCAGGCACATGCTTAACTTTCCACTGTGAGTTTCAAGTTAAATGTGTTCAGTGTTTGCAACAGTTTATCTGAAAAGACACTCTTGTTTCTCCCCCTTAAACGAATGGGAAGTATCTTCCAGGTAAATGATACGTGAATTTTAAGGATTCTACCTCTTACCTCTACATATATGTATCACATATTCCAAGTTTTTGTTTACCTTTCAGTCTCAGTTACTATTTTACTTACTCCATGATGCATATATGCCATATATAACAAGCCACATTGGTTTTGTGGGCTCTGTTATTTGTTTCGTTATCATTTATTTCAGCTTTGCATACACCATCTCCTCTTAACATCATCTGCTGCTTACAGGGAGAGAGCATCTCTATTTTAATATTGTCCTAAGTGATTACCTCTACTGTTTCCCACCATTTTTTGTGTAGGAATGAAGTTTTATCAATGAAATAAAAGAGATCAACAGATGATAGCTGCGTTTTTGTTTCCCTTTTCCTCTCTGTAGCTTTATGCCACAGGCATAAAGTAACTTTTTTTAAAATGAAAGTTCTTATCCGAAGTTCAGAGTGGTTGCTACTCTGTGCACACTTACTTGTAGGAAATTATTTTTCTAATACAATTTATATTTTGATTTTTGGCTCTCATTCCAAGAATGGGTTTAATTCAACTACCACGCTGCTACTTTCAACAGCTAATGACCAAGATGTGTTGCTACACATCAAGATATCTGCATAAGTGACGCTACATAAAAAAGGAGACAGATAAAACTATGCTTAATCTGTGAACTACTGCTCCCTCTTCCCTTCTTTCTCTTTAAAAAAATGCAACACAGTTATGTAAATCACAACACAAGTTAAGTAATTTGGACAAGACACAAGGGTAAAGTTACAAACTGAATCAAAATCTAATTTACAACTAAAAGATCTCACTCCTGTTTTGTATCCTTTTGTATCCTTTTGTATCCTACATACCCTGACGCCAAACTGCAATTCTTCCATCTTAAGCTGGCCTTGAGGTTTTCCATGAGAGTTGGCATGGAGTGAGGCCTACAACTGCAGCTCAAGAGTAGAAATTAGCAGAGACCTAGCCTTATTTTGAAGTAAATGCTTCATAAGAGTGGACAAATGCTTTAGCTGTAAATATGAAGGACTTATTTGTACCGGCTCTGTCACCTGCCAGTGAACATGTAAGCACTTGAGAGTGAAAAATAACAAGTGCCCACAGCTACCACTAACTTCAAATACACTTCTGTGCATTCAGACAACTTTGAAAGCCGGGTTTAGGCACAGTAAGCACCTGTTATTTATATAATTATTTCACACTTGTAGAATTAAAAGTCTTCTTATTTACTTTTCAATTCACAGTCAAATACGGAACCTTTCAGACATTTTAATGCTTTGTGAGAAAAGTGAAGCATTACTATTTTAATACTTCAAAACTGGCCTTCTACTCTAGCTTCTTAACCCAAAACCTTGGATATCAGTTTTCCGAGACATTGAATAATCACAACCCATGGCTGATCCAAAAAATTTAAGGGCCAACGACTGCCAGGGTGTAGACTGCACGAAAACTGAGAAACAGCATTAATTTAGAGGTTAGCGAATCTATTTGTTAAGGACTTGTACGTGTATCAAGTGCAATTACAGCCGATCACAGCTC